CCCACTGCAAACCACATGAGCAGGGGCGTACACTGCAGCACTAAGTAGTGGCACAAATTTGTGCCGCTACTATTAGTACTGCTGCAAACGCATGCCCCTGCTCATGTGGACACGGTCATAGAGATTGTAGTATAAACTATAGTAGTTCAAGATAAACAAAAACTTCTATTAATTCCTATTATAAATTCATTAGATTTTAAAGAACAAGGAAAAAAGGATTACGGTTAGTCTCTCCAATGAAAAATACTGCAATGGTAGTCAAAAGGTCCAGTTTAGAAGGGCATACTACATCACTTATACAATATCCATGTTGTCAAGAACCTCAAAGTACTTTCAGTTGCACAGAATGCCTGATGTACATGGTTCTGATAGGATCAATCTTAGAAAGTAATAATCCTCCCATGTTTAAACGTTTTGGAGTCCATCTTTTGGTGAGGATTTACTTTTTTATGTATTTTTAAACCAGAAGAAAAGAAATACTCAAAGAACTTGAGTATGCTTGTTTCTTTTCCCTACTTGATCACATCTATTTGTTCATATTTTAATGTGGCCTACATGGTGCAGCTACACATGTAATTAACATGCCTGAATAAACTCTGGCACAGTTTGCACTGGAGTTTATTTCTCCCAGGTGCCACTTTTACACATGTATCCAGGACCTCAGCATGTTGAGCCGGGGATGCACAGCTCCAGCTGGCAGAGGGTTTGGGGGCTCAGTCTGCCAGCCTGGACCTGCTCCCCCCATCTCAACATGCTGCAGAGGGGCTGGCTGGGTCATGAGGCTAGCTGGCAGGCAGCCCCCGCTAGGCAGTTCCTACATTGTAGGAACCTCATGCCACAGCCAGGTCCGGTCCCCTACAGGTGCATTTTGGTGCACTGAATAACTGCTCTCTAGAATAGTACTTATGTTGGGCAGTACTATCCTACAGCAGAGTTAATTAGTTTACTGTGGCCTAATAGCACTGCATGTATAGAAGGTAACACTTTACTAAGGAACTAGTTAGTCAACTCCTGCAGCAAAGCACACATATAGCTGGCCCTCCACAAAGGATTTTTTTTTTAAGCAAATTTTCTGCCACTCTTTGCTTTTGTTGATGTTCAGGTTTGCATCCATGCTGTTACATACTCAATCTCTCCTTCCAGAGACAGGAAGCAGAGTCAGAAAAGACAATGCATCATTCTTTTTAAGAACTTTTCTCCCCTTTACCCACCTGAGGACTAACTATGCAGTTTATTACAAATACTGAGAAACCTGAAAAGAGGCTCCTGCTGTATAGAGAGCATAGTTGAAGGAAAATCTCAGAGAACAATGAGGTTTCCTACCACTGATCTCTTACTTGGACATGGTGGTGACAACTACCTTTTCTGTCCTGGAAATCTGAATGGCAGTTGGGATATATGCCTTGTTCTATCAAAACTTCCAGATTTTTATGGCCAGATCAAAAAGGACACTGTAGTGTCCTATATATACATGGGCATATGCACCCTGGAAAATGAGAATTTTGTTTAGAGATTTCTAAACTGAGTTATGATTACTTTTTATTTTTACACTGAGTGGAATCTTTAGCAATGATCAGGCTCAGGATGTCTCTGAGGCCACAGTCTTGGTATCTTTGAAACAGAGACAGTAATTTCAAAGGCAGAGAGGCTTCCTACAGGGAATAGATTTCTCTCAAGTATATTATGCCCAGACAAGCTACTGCAACAGTCAAAGGTGTGATTTTAAAATGGAGTCTTTTCTTTTGCTCTTATGAAATGTTTTTAGTGCTTTTGTAGCATAATATTTGCATATAAAAAACAAAAGTACGAAGAATGAGAATCCCTAGTAGGCTTGTTAAGAATTTCTGGGTGGCATGAGGCCCTGATAAAACTTCTTGGAACACATTTTTGATTAACCCCTCTTAGAAAAGAACATTGTTAACTTAGCGAAATGTACATTTCCAGCAATCTAAAGCAGCAAAGCAGGTTAAAATTTTTTGCCAGATTTACCTGGAGGTTTAATAGGCAGATCCCTACCTGTAGGGATCATCAACTACAGGGAATCTTACAATATTACAGAATGTTACAATATTAGTACTGATCAAGTTTCAAGTCATCCTCAGTCTTAGTACTTAGATACTTTAAAACCTTGGGAAAAAATAGTCCTTTCCTGAACTTCTGTAGGAGTATGGAGTGAAATCTTGGCTCCATCAACTTTCATTGCCCTGCAAAATTTACCCCTTATATAATTTGGATTTATGTGCATGTGTGCCACAGTGCACACTTTTAAACCTTAATTTCTAGGTCTTTTAGACTGCAAGAAAAATCTATAAAAGAATAGCAATGATGTGGTAGAGGCTGCCAAGGAAGATACACATTTTGTGCATATACACAACATAGAGGACATGCCAGAGAGAAAGAGTAGGAGAATGAGTGGTATATTGCCTACTCAACTATCCTGCAGCTGAAGGATTTTGAGGAGGCAGTGATAATCCATGAAAATGTATTCATGGATTTTCCACAATGTAACACACAAATAAACAACACAAAGGCAGGTCCAGCATGCATGTCATGGCAACTACATAGAGATGCAGTAGTTGCATACAAAGTGCCATTAAACATACCATCTATTCATACAGTTATTATAACAATAATCATGCCATGATTAGGTGCACAGATTCTGTGCACACATTTTGAATAGCACTGTACTATACCACATTTCAGGCATTATCCAAAGCTGTCCCCTGTCTTCCTTTTGAAGTTGGCACATGGGCAGCCAAGAGAGGAAGATATGGGTACAGGAGAAAAAATGTAAAGCTGAGGATGTATGGCTCAGTGAGACTGCTGCTGTTTTGGTTGGAAGCAGGCCCTAGGTTCTAATCTCAAATCTTGTTTTCTGTAGCACTCAACCTTCTGTGCTATTTTTCATCGGTGTTAGTCAAGTTACATGCAAGGAGCGGCAACACATCCTCTAAAGGAATGTCAAAAAGGAAACTGGACAATGTCTGATTTGTGGTGTGGTAATTAGAGCACTATTTCAGGAAGTCAGAAAGACAGAAGCTTCCCTAGAACCTGGATCATCAGCTTGCTGGACAGATGCCCTAACTACTCAGTCATTGGGCTAAAATATAGATATGCCCTTCTCTATTATTTTTCCAGAACTTGTGCTCAGATAGACACATACCCAAACATGAATACAAATAATGTACATGGCAACATACATCCTCAGCCAGTGCATAGTCTACATATAAAATCTTACATGTCCAAAGTATAAAGAAGAGCCAAAACTGGTAAGGTAGATGTCTAGAAAACTGTCACTTAGAGTCACAAAAGAAAATGGTATCCCACCCGTTATGTCCATACTCATATGTGAATAGTTCTTAGATTCAAGTATAATTTTTACTGTCTCTGGTAAATTAGTTTATTGGAATTTTTTGTTGAAGTAACATACTTTGAAATCAGTACTGGACTAGTGTGCAGAAATATGATTTTTCTATACTGGGAGATAACAAAATCCATTAATCTCCCTTTGCTTAAACTTTCAGGCCAGACCAAAACAGGTTCAACATGATTGTCTTTTTTATGTCACAAAGGACAAAAAGGTGGTCTTTGTATAGGATTCCCTGCTTCACTCAGCCAAGCACCAAATGATGAAGAAGAAAACTTTTCCTGGAGTTTCATCAAGGTTTTCATCTGATGCTAAACAGTTATATACTACATCTACATAGTATTTGAAATTATCTTGTAATTCCTCCACCCTGTTCTATACTCGCACATGCAAGAAAGGAACAGTGTCCCAGAGAAAGGTTCATTTGCATTTAGTAAGACTTGCAATAAGTAAATCGTTGAAGTCCTTCTACTAAAGGTGCACTGCAGTCTTTCAAGAAAAAGTAGAACAAGAACTGAATACATCATAACTTGTAATAGAATTGCTCAATCCAACAATATTACACCTTCAAAAGTAACCCTCGGGAGTAGAATGTAACACATTAAGCAACATAGTCCAGATTTAATATCAAAGGAGGGCATTTTTAACAGATGCAGGGCCTTGAGGCTGTCTGCAGCCTTTGTCTTCGGGGGGTGATTTGTGGTGCTTAATTAAATCTCAGCATTCCTTTGGAAGCATAATAGGATTCATTTTTATACAATTTTAATAATGCTGTAAAGAAGACTAGATGTAATGGCATACTTTAGTTAGAAGGCAAGAAGTTACTTGTTATTGATAAGAAAGGTTTATTTTATTTATCTTGAATCTTGATACCACCCTCACAGCTATAAAATCTTGATTTCCTCTTCATTGTCCATTTTATTGTAACAGAAGAACTATTTTGTTTAAAAAAAAACAATAAGTTGTCTAGGTGGAATCTTAACTCCATAAAAGACATTATTAAAAAAAAAGACATATCCATAATAGGCCCAAAATAGAATTGACTATCAAATAAACCTTAAATTTTAGTACCTACCCATATGTATATACCACGAGATTCATATATATGAAATCCTACTGGAAAACAATCTTAAGTAGAGCAATCTTCCCAACATTTCTCATGCCAGAAAAGCTGCTAAACTCAAAGCAAGACCTAGAGGTTAGGCAATAACCTGAATATAGCAAATCTTTTTGTGGTTTTATGAGCACCATCCTTACTTACCACTAATGGCAGACATCCTGGTTAACACAAAATTCACTAAAAGAAAATCAGACTTCAGCTAAGCCTGTAAACACTTATTGCAATGCTGAGTTGCAAGTTCAGCTCACAGGTGCAGATGGCCCAGCTGTCAGAGTCAAATATCTAATCCTCATCTACCATATGCCAAGCTTTTAACTATATCATTATTAATAATTGGAGGTTAAATATTTTATGTAAAGACTTACACAGTTTCTAGTGGGAATTCTGTTACTGAGTTATGATTTTAATTAACAGTTCAACTATAACAAACAGTAATTCACATTTATTCAGCACCAGGATGCTCTTAATTTACAAGATTATGACCTTACCATAGAATAGGCAAAAAATTCTTACCTGGATAATGTGTTTCAGTTTATCAATTATTTGACTTATCACAGGATCTGTTCCTTTCACTTTAACTTCTGGATTCCCAGACTGAGCTTTAATTCCATTACCAACCACACGGTGAGTATAGCTAATGAAAGAAACAAACAAAAAAATTATACTGAACTGCGTTAACTTTAAAGAATGGTTAATTTGTTGATGCTAGGGCTAGGGACAAAAGTTGCACATAAACTAGTTTAAGTGATCAGAAACTGGTTTAAACCAGTAGCAGAACAGAAGTTCAGTGCACATTAACTGGTTTCAAAATGACTGAACCCCGTTTAACATAAACCTGGATGGATGTTGTATCAGACTTAACTGATTTAGGTTAAACCGCTTTATGGAACTTCTGCCCCAGATCCCATCCCATTCAAATTTCCTCACCGTTTCTCAGCATCCCAGGATGATTTGCAGCCCTTGGCTGGGCTGTGCTGTCTGCTCCAGCAGAGAAGGGCCAGTCCTGCCCCACCTGCCATAGAGCTGAAGCAGTAAAGCCTCTGAATCCTAGCGTGCTTCCTGCCTGGGTCTGTCAGGCCAGTGGGTCAGGAGCAGAGGGATGTACCCCCAGACTCTCCTAGCCTGGGTCTGCACAGTGCCCACTCCCAATAGCATGGTAACTGGGTTGGGATCACCCTAACCCAACCCCCTTACCCACCAGCGGTCTCTCTGAGAGGTGGGGATAGGAAGGAACACACCCCAGCACAGCACCACCACCCTCCAGTAGGAGTCTGCACAGGAGCCCCTGTGGAGGGCAGGTTCCCACAGCCCCGTTACTGACCCACAGCATCTCTAAGAGGCAGGAGATTGGAGGCAACACAGCCTGGGCCCAGCACCAACCCCCTGGCAGAGGTCTGCATGGGAACCCCCACAGGGTGCTTTTCCCTTCAGCCCAGGGACCCAGGCTGGGAAAGCTCCAGCTCTGACCTATCCTTGGTCTCTGAGAGGTAGGGGTGGGAGAAATGGACCCCCAGCTGAGCACCTGCCCCCCCCAACAGGGGTCTGCATGGGGATCCCCTTCAGGGGGTGCTTCCCCCCCCCCATAGCCCAGCAAACTCGGTTGGAAAAGCCCCAGCCCCACCCCTCTCCAGCCCATGGCCTGAGAAGCAGGACAGGGAATGTACCCTGATCTGGCACTGGTCCCCCTAGGAAAGGTTTGCATGGGAGCCCTTGCAGGGGGCTTTTCCCCACAACTCAGTGAGCTTCCTCCATGCCCTGTGGCCTCTCTGAGACGCAGAGAGTCAGGAGGAATACACCACTGCCCTGGCCAAGGTCTATTTGGAGAGTCCCCACTGGTGGCAGCTGGTGCTGGGTTGGGGGTGCATTCCCCCAATCGCCCCCGCCCCCCGCATCTCTTAGAGAGGCTACAGGTTGGGGTGGGCAGGGGTGGAGCTTTCCCCATCCGGCTCACTGGACTGTGTGCAGGAGTAAGTCCCCCACGAGGGCTCCTCATGTAGACCGTCTGCTGAGGCAGCTGGAGCTGGGCGAGTAGTTCATTCTCCCCCACCCCCACCTCTCAGAGAGGAGGGGTGAGGGTAGAGCTGGGGCCGTCCCAGCCTGGCTTTCTGAACTGAAGGGAAAAGCTCTATGGGAGTTCCTGTGCAGACCCCTGCTGCAGGGACATACTGTACCAGAGCCAGGGGTGTATGCAGGGTCAGGGGTGTATTCCCCCATGCCTCCCAACTCTCAGAGTGGCCACAGTCTGGTGAGAGGGCTGTGGGAACCCCCTCCTCCCCATGGGGTACCCCATGCAACCCCCTGCTGTTGGTGCCAGTGCCAGGCTGGTGTGCATTTCCCCATTTTTCTGTTGTCAGAGAGACTGCTGATGGGTGAAGGGGGAGGGGGTGCTGCTGCATTCTGAGTCTGCTCACTGGGCTGTGGGTGGGGAAAAGCCACCCTCCAGGGGTTCCCCCATCCACACCATGCAGACCCCTGCTGCTGCATTCCTCACCCTGCCCTCCCACTTCTCAGAGCGGCAGGTGGCTAGCAGGGGGAGGGTTTGGGGAGAGATAGTCTGCTGGATCTTCCCCTCCCTGTGGCTTACAGCAGGGTGTGGGGGCACATGCCCTGCAGCCAAGCAGGTGTGTGCTGCCATTGGCTGGGTTTGGCATCCTTCAGCATTGTCTGGCATGATGGGAGGTGTGTGTGAGTGGTCCTGGTCTGGGCCAGTTCAGGCCTCTGCCTGCTTTTTCCACTGGAACACTAAACGTCTTTTCTGTTCATTATGGATTCAATCTACACAACTTATAAAAAACCTGTGAAGATTGAATTGATTCCACCTTGGGCTTTTTGAAACTCTGTACTCAGCCTCAAAGATGAAACCTCAGTTGGAACTGCCATTCCAGCTCAATGCAAAAATATGTGTTCATCCGCATACTTGTGAGAGAACAGAAATATACCACACTGTGTTTATAAAATATATTTATTATACTCCACATTTTTTTCTCTACCTTGTTACTTCAACTTTTTAAATGAAAAATAATGTGAGTTACAAAGGGATAAGTATGCAGCTATGTGTACATCACACCATTCTGTGAAGACTATCCTTCATTTTAATCTAGTACAATAAAAATTACATGAAGACTGACTCTGACTTCAATAGACAGAGTGCCAGACTTCTAAAACTGAAGCTCCAGAGTCTACACACATAAATATGTCTATTTGTATGTGTAGTTTAATTAATACAAATGTGCACAGGAAAAAAGAGTCATTTCAATATAACAATCAAATTCTTAACAGATTAGTTAGCAGATTTTCTCTCTCTTACATGAAGTTTTGGAATGTTAGTTGTTAAATATTACAATGGACTCTTATTCTATAGAACCACAGGAGCCATGTAAATAAAACCAAACAAATAGACCTAGTAAGGAGAAAAAAATATTTATTCACATGAACATTAGTTTTAAAAGCAATTCTGGCTTAAAACTGATTTTTCCCATTCTTGTAAATTCTATACATGATTAGATACTAGCCTGGAACCTAGGCAGAAAACAAGGATATCTGTTCCCTCATTGCAGACACCATACGCTATCCAAATGTTCTCCATATGTTAGATTTTGCCTTGATGTTTTATAAAAGATTGACACTATATCTCAGTCTCAAAAATATTTTGCCAGCTGTTACTCAATAAGAAAAGGGAAGAAAGAGAACCCTTGTGGTACTAAAATGTCAAGAGTCTAATTCCCAGCTGCTAGATAGATGTATATGATTGGTCAATATGACACGTTTAAATTTTGCAGAATCTCAGTTTTCATTAAAAAAGAAGTTCCTAACTATCCCAGTTACAAAAAAAACATTCCAGATATGATGCTAATATTAAAATAGTGTCTGCCTAAGTTTGAAGGCAGCTGGAAGAAACTCTAAAGAGTATAAATTCCATTTTACTTTCACTGATTCCATTGGAATATTATTCACCCTAAAGCCCAATAAGAATATCATAATGGGTATTGTTTTGAAGCATGTGGTGTTCAGGAGGCCTCTTTCTTGCTGTTGCTCTCAGTATTCAGGCTGCTTGGGTCCATATGCCCCAAGAGGCTGGTGTTACTAAGCAGCCTCCTGGATCCTAGATGTGATGCAGAAAGACTCAAATTTGTATTCAGTGCTGAAAAGGTCAAAGAGGTTTATTGTCCATTGGACAGTACAGTACACTAGCTGTTCTGTTCAGTAGTCAGACCAACTCAGTAAAACTGCCCAGGATGAAGTAGCAACGCTTTGTGTTAATTGCGCTCTCCTACGTCGCTACCAAGAAACAAGTCTTGTGACACCTCTATACCCCAAATACCCAAGTTTTTTGGCTAACGCTTTATCTATCTTTTTGTTGAGGTGTCCATTTCTACTTGTCTCTCTTCCAAGCTCAAAACTGGCCGATTACCTCAGCACCTGCCTTATTATTTTTACTTTATTTTTTATTTTATTTTGCGATTACTACTCCCTTCTTGTACCAGCCTCTCTGCTCATTACTGGGTTCTGGCTTTTTACATTTCTTCTCAAGTCATGCAGAGGTCAACAAAGTTTGTTCTTCCCCAACTCTCTCTCAAAACCTTAGCACAATCAGAAGTCCTATGAACTATTCAATGGCAAACCATTTTGGGAGATGAAACAGAAAAGAGGGTGTGAGATAAAAATTGTTGGTGGGCATTAGAGAAAGAAAAGACATACAAAAGAAGACAGGAGTAAACATATGTAGACAGAGAAGATGAAAAGAAACAAAGAATGAAAGCTGGGAAATGAAAGAAAGAGAAAAAAGGTAATAATAAAACGAACACATTTCCCTCTTAGTTATGCTGAATAATATGCTGAAGAAATAACAGTCCCAATAGCTGAAAGAATAGGTACCATATAACAAACAGCTGTAGTCTATCCTCAATATGTATGCAACCATCCTGTTGTTATCAGTGGATGTTTTGCCATGGATGAAGAAAAATGTGTTTTCCTAATTTTCATCCATGGCTCAAGAGCCATAATTAAAATGGAATTTGGCCTTCTCCATAAAGCAAGTTTCACACCTTTGTTCTGCAGGGACCCCAAACTTTCAAAAAACTTTCTAAATCAGTGAAAAGAAACTTTCTTTCATATTTATACTCTCAAGTGTAGCTACTAAGATATTTTTCTGCCAGTACAAGTTCCCTAAATTCCCTAAAATATTCTTAGAATGGAAGTCATATAAGGACACATTAAAGTTGCTAGTGACTTTAACGGTGTAGAATCAAGGCTAAATGACTTTGCATATAGTGAATATGGATCATTTTGTTTAAGCTTTTAGTTTCACAGAAAAATGTGAGTGCAGCTCAGGGCCTTCTGATCTGCCTCTGCATGAATTATTCGTGTTTGGCCTCAATCATGTTTAATTTCTCCTGTATTCTTTTTCTACTCTGTTGGAAGTAAATGCAATATTATAATTACATACAGTTTGGTACCTAGGTATTGCAGTAATGAACACCCTAAGTATAACTACAACTTAAAGCTTCCAGGTTTTTCATTTTATTCAGTCTTCATTACAGAAAATACATCTTCAACTATATTCAGAGTTCAAACAGGCCTGTATCAGCTAGGGGTAAAAAATAAAAATAATAAGCCAATTACTATGTCTTCAAT